TCGAGCACGACACCAACATCCCGAGCGGCGAGTCCCTGATCCGGCAGTTCCTCTTTGGCCAGCGCTTCTTCGAGAGTAATTTCGGCCGGCGCTCGACGACGTGCTGGCTGCCGGATACCTTTGGCCAGTCGAGCCAGATGCCGCAGCTGTGTCGGCAGGCCGGGATGAACCGGTTCCTGACGCAGAAGATTTGCTTTAATAATATGAATGAGTTTCCTCATACTACGTTTAACTGGTATGTCGGTCCTTGGCAGTTGATACTGACGTACTCTAGGCAGAGTGGAAACTTGTGAAAGCGGGTGTGATGCTGATGGCTGTTGTCGCAGGGTTGCTCTTGATGGGAGCCAGGTTATTTGTCACATGCCACCCGCAAAGACATACTGCGCCAACGCGACGTTTGGTGATGTGAAGCGCAGTATGACGCAGCACAAGTCTCTAGACCAAGACCACACCTCTCTTCTAGTCGTGAGTCCTATCTTGCCCAAAATCATCATCCTCGATAGGAGAGCCCCTTCTCACAGCAATCACTCTACCCCACGTATGCTAACCCAATACCACAGTTCGGCAAAGGCGACGGCGGCGGCGGCGGCCCAACCCGTCCCCAACTCGAATCCCTCCGCCGCCTCCGCGGCCTCGCCGACACAACGGGCCTCCTCCCGCGCGTCCACTCCGGCGGCACCCCAGACGACTTCTTTGACCGCCTCGAGAGGAAGGCGCATACGTTCCCCACGTGGCACGGCGAGCTGTACTTTGAGCTGCATCGCGGGGTGTACACCACGCAGGCGCAGACGAAGCTGAATAACAGGAAGGCGGAGATTCTCTTGAGGGATGTGGAGCTGTTGGCGACGATTGCGTCTGTGGAGGATAGGGGGTATAGGTACCCCAAGAAGGAGTTGGATGATATGTGGGAGGGGGTGCTGCTTTGTCAGTTTCACGATTGCCTTCCTGGGACTGCTATTGGGATGTGCTATGATGATTCGGACAAGGTAAGTCTGCTTGTTGTTCTTTGTATGAGCGGCGGAGAGAGTGGCTTACGGGTGTACAGGTTTATGCGAATGTTTTCAGCATCGGCAGCACGCTGTTGAGAGACATTTACAGCGTTCTCAAGATCAACGACATCAACGAGACCCCAACCGAATCCGAGAGACTGGTAGCCCTCAACACTCTAGGATGGCCTCGAAAAGAGGTCCTCACCACCAACGGCAAAGACTTCATCGCCAACGGCACCGGAACCCTCATCGCCACCCAAGAAATCACCCAACCAGAAACCACCAAGCCCCTCGTAACAGTTCAAGAAGTCTCTGAAGGCATCTTCGTCCTCGAAAACAGCCACTTCACAGTAACAGTCGAATCCGGCACAATCACCTCCCTCCTCGACCGCCGCGCCGCCAACCGCGAGGTTCTAGCCCCCGGCAGCGGCAGGGCGAACCAGTTTGTCATTTTTGACGATAAGCCGATTTACTGGCAGGCGTGGGACGTGGAGGTGTTCCACCTCGAGACGCGGGAGGAGGTGCGCGGCGGGCGGATGAGTGTGCTGGAGGCGTCGCCTTTGAGGGTGAGTGTTGTTACGGAGACGCGGATTAGTGAGGTTAGTTCTGTGAGGACGGTGATTAGTCTTGCTGCGGTGGTTGATGAGAGCGCGAGTGCGGCCGGTGTGGGCGTGGAGTGTACTGCGGAAGTCGACTGGCATGAGACGATGAAGTTTCTCAAGGTTGAGTTCCCGGTCGATGTGCGGCATCATGAAGCGTCGTACGATACGCAGTTTGGGGTTATTCGGAGGCCGACGCACTACAACACGTCGTAAGTCATCCTCTTTGCGACGTAGAGCTCGATGGTGGAACGTGTTTGCTGACTACAGGTATGTTAGCTGGGACATGGCCAAGTTCGAAGTCTGCTGCCACAAGTACGCGGACCTCTCGGAGTACGGGTACGGCGTGTCGATCCTCAATGACAGCAAATACGGCTTCGCGACCGTCGGCAACACGATGAGGCTGTCGCTCCTGCGGTCGTCCAAGGCGCCTGATGATAACGCCGACATGGGGCGGCACACGATCCGGTGGGCGATTTTGCCTCACCGGGGTCCGTTGGGGCCGGAGACCGTGAGGGCGGCGTATGAGTTTAATAACCCGCTAAAGGTCGTCTCTGCGTCTGCGGATTCTCCGTTGTTGGAGGCGGGAAGTGGCGCTGAAGGTGGTGCAGCTAGAGGGTTCCCGGTTGCGTTGACAGGGGATGAGAATCTGGTGCTGGATACGGTGAAGCGCGGCGAGGATGATGAGGATGTCGGGGATGGCGAGTTGCCTGTCCGCGGTGGCCGGAGCGTGATTTTACGGGTGTATGAGAGTTTGGGGGGACGCGGACGGGGGAGGGTGGCGACGAAGTGGGCTGTGAAGAGCGTGTATAAGACGAATCTGCTGGAGGACGAGGAGGAGGAGGTTCGTGTTGAGGATGGCGGGTTCGAGGTTGACCTTGGGCCGTTTCAACTGCAGACGTATCGACTTCAGTTGGTGGATTAGATGAGGTGTAGATGTTGCGATAGACCTCTTGAGAATATTACTGTTTTCTGTCATTTGAGGTCATTCCCTGAATCACATGTTGATGCGTTGGGTCATTCGCCGTGCTCACTGCCGATGAGAGCATCTGAGCTGTAGAACCCTCTATTTGAGAGAGAAATGCAGGCAGCATGAGTTGGAGATGGATGCTTGTTTCTGCCCATCAAGATTGGTCTCGAGGTTAGGTATGCTGGCCTTCAGGTGGGTGGCTCAAGAGTACGGTGTGATTCCGAAGCTGGGCAACGAATGATTGGGCTCGTATGGATTGTGTTCTGGCTCTCTTGGTAGGCCTTGGACGATGAGGGTGTAAATTACTCGAGTCTTTATGAATGAGATGAAGTGGCTGTTTGATCAGGATATATGAGTATTGCGAAGGCCAAGTGCGGCGGCGGTGATGTAGTTGCACCCCAAAAGCCCAGCATTGGCTGATGATGTGGTTGTATGCCATAAACGTGAGCTTCCGCACGGCAGACGATGAGACCCAGCGTGGGATGGTAACTCATTCATGAGAAAGTAGATGTTGGATGAAGAACATTGGAGAAAGGCAGGAAGCCGTGATGAAGGCTGCAGAGGTCAAGGTGTACAACCATGGTGACACGAGCGCAGCCCAATCAGGTCAAGGTCCCATTGGTGTTGACCTCGGTACTGGCAAATGTCTGGAAGAAAGAGTCAATCGAAGAAACCCCACTTGAGGCAGGCCAGAGAAGCTTACGCCAAGAGGCTGCATGGTGGGCAAACATTGAACACTTGCATGTTTGTTTGTTTGTTGCAGTAGTAACATGTAAAGTAGGGGTGCAGAGGGAGTTGAAACAAGGCGGTGGTACGGCCCGGGTGTGTGGCACGGGGACCTGGCACCTACTTAGCGGTAGGTATCCGTAGACCTAGAGCTAGAACTAGAGTAAGGCCTAGGCCTACTGCGAAGACCCGGACCCGAAGCCGTGGGCGCGGATTGCGGCGTGGAATCGTCAGCCCAGGGGCCACAGGCGGCCATGGCCATGCTGTGTCACGTCCACCCCCGGATCGACGGTGGGACGCGGGCAGGTGCTTGAAGAATTTAGTTGGTTGTTTGTTAATTAATTTACTCGTTATTATAGTGGCACAGAGTGGTCGTCAGATGTTGAAGTTAGAGTTGAAGTTGACAACTCCATCAACTTGACCTGTAACACGAACCCAACTAGCAATGGCCAGTACAGGATCCCGCCAGCGACGATGAAGCCTGGCTTTCAGAGACAACAAGGTACCTGTCAGTTGGAACTTGGAAGCGCCCTGAACGAGACTCAACAGAGCAAGAGTTACGAAGTGTTTGTTGGAAGGTGGGAGTTACAATTCACGGGTTGGTTCGTCTGCGCCTCAGTGTTGGTTGGATGCTCAACTTGAGCACTCGCTTCCCTCGTTATCGTCAGAATCCACTACTGGAAATGAAATCGGTGACAAGTTGTGACCAACAGCATATGACCCCCGACCAAGGTGTGACCCCAGCAGGCGGTTGCGGAAGTCCAACCACCGAATCCGTCACTTCAGCGGTTGGAACGGCGTTGGACCAGGAGCGGCACCATACCACAATACATCTGCATTGTGACAAACAAGTAAAACAAGCAAACAACTCAAGGGCTCAACGCCCATCAGTCAAGGGTGTAAAACTACAGAGTACCTAGATCCCATCGATACCTCATCAGCTGTTCCCCCCGGCGTGTCAGAAGCTGGAAGCTACTGAGGTGATAAAGTCGGCCTCCCCTCTCTCTCTCTCTCCCGCGCCCGCTGCGAGAAAAAATGCAAGAATGAGCCCACGCATGCGGCGTAGCACCAATCACGTCCAGCCCGGGTAGGGCGGAAGAGAGGGGGGAGACCGGGGGGGGGAAGGGTTTCTGGTCTCTTCTCCCAACAGTGGCTGGGCGATAGTGGCTGGGCACTGCACCAACCGTTCCCCTCCCCTCTCTTGCTCTGCTTTCCCCCCCTGGGTACCGCGAAAAAGACTGCCAGATGTACCCTGGTTCCAACAGAGTTCCAGCAGCGACCAACTGGTGGGGAGTCTTTACCGCAGTAAGTCACTTTTTGGCCGCCAACAGCAGCAAGGAGTACCTATCCCCCTAGGTAGCTATCCATAGTATTGGTATGTACCCAAGACAAGGTGGACAGCCAAAAGAGTACTCGGTACACCCAACAGAACGGTAGGCGAAGTACTTTACTACGTAGTGTCCACTGGCTACCGGGCCACGGGGCGAGACTGAGCTCTGAAGAAAAGGGAGGGGAGAGAGAGACGGATGTAGAGAGAGCTCCCGAAGCGCGAGATTAAAAAGCCAAAGCTTCCCCGACGACATTCCTCGCCCGACCCAATCATTGCGCAAATTTCATCATCGTGGTCTATCATCGTCGGTGGACTCGCCAGCTCCTCTCTTCTCTCTACTACTTCCTCCCCGCGACGGCCAACAGAGAGAGAGAGAGGTCCGTACAATGTCTGGCCAGGCGTTTGCAAACGATGCGACCGCCTCGCTCGCACATGCATCAGAGCCTCGCCTGGACCTGGACCTGGACCTGAACTCGGAAACCCCCTCCATCAATGCCACGACATGGAGTGACCCGCCCATCAACAGCAGCAGCAGCAGCAGCGCACCCAACCCCATCGACCCTCTTCTGTTTGCTGACGAGGTCGAGGTGGACGTCGACGTCGCCCAGCATGCCGTAGACGACGCAGAGTCCGCCTCGGACGACGCAGAATCCTACGTCAGCGACCTTGACATGTTCCCTGACCCCTCTGACGATGAGGAGGACATCGTAGCACCAGCACTCGCACCAGCACCCGCACCCGCCTCCGCATCTACCCTCGCCGAAGCCCAAGCTCTCATCTTCGCCGCGGCGACGGAGACGGAGACGGTGGCGGATGACGCGGCAGACTCCGACGACGCCGACATGACCATCTACGCCGCCTCAGACCGGCCTTCCGTGGACGTCACTGAGGATAGCGCCACGGATGCCGACAGCCTGATGACGGGCACTGACAACCAATCCATCCTCACAATTGATGCTTCCGTATGTAACAAACTCGTCTTATGTAACAAACTCCCCTACATGCCCATCTTCCTCCAGCCTCCAGACACACACACACACACACACACACACACACACACACACACCCTAACATTGACGCCTTCCAGTCATCACAGCATGATGGACGAGCCCCGTCGACGAGAACCATCGAGACTTCGGATCTCCAGCTCGCCTTTCAGCAGCGTTTTGGCCGCACCTATCCATCAAGAGGTGAGCAAATGACCAAGACAATGTCTCCATGGATGACGAGAGCGCCTCATACTGACTCCAGTCTACTAGACTATATCCTGCCTAATGACTGGGTGAGTTTACCACCGTGAACCCGCATGTCATGCGTGTCTTTGTATAGTTCCTTTGGCTTACCAGGACTCTCTTCGGGGGGGCATCTCAATAGGATGAATGTATCCGCCTAGGTATGTACACGTAGAGTCCCGCCGTGTTGCCGCCCCTCTAAAGGGATGCTTTCTTTCCGCCCTTTTTCTAACGGGGCCTCTTTCGTAGCTATCCAACACCATCTTTGGCTTCGCACGTATAATTCGCGTCTTGCCAACTCTCCCAAACGTGAGCGTGCGGCGCGCGTGCTCGACTGTGGAACCGGCACAGGTCACTGGGCCTCGGATTTCGGTGAGGACTTGCCCTTAACACACACTCTTGAATCTTGACGATTAACCTATTTGCAGCGGACGACCACCCAGAAGCTGTCGTAAGGCCTGCCTAACCTTCGTCACCCCCCGGCCACGTTCTGTTCTCGCACAAGTGGCTCGGGTGCGGATGTTTGACCGCTTGCTAACAATGAGACTAAGGTCATTGGCGTCGACCTAAGCCCTATACAACTGACTGCGTGAGTAAACACAGCCCCCGCAATCCTTCTGAGAGGCTATGGCTCTACCTCCCAAAACGAACGCCTAGCTGAATCTTGTCATCTCCAGTGTGCCACCCAATCTCTGGTACGAAATCTTCGACCTGGAGCAACCCTGGCCGTGGAGGGAGCTTTACGACTTCATCTTCTTCCGTCACATGAACACCGCCTTTGCCGACTGGGTCGCAATTTTTGAAAAGGCTCTCGGGTAAGCACTCTACCAAGCCCATATACATTCGCCCATGACGTTGGACTGACACACTAAAAAGTCACCTCGAGCCCGGCGGCTACATTGAACTCCAGGACAACTCCTTCCCCATCATGTGCGACGACGACACCATGGCCCCCGACAGCGCCATCGCGCGCTGGTCCACGCTCCTGATGGAGGCCACGGAGCTCATGGGCCGCCCCTGCGACGCCCCCTCGCGCTTCAAGCAGCTGCTCGACCTCGCCGGCTTCGAGGCCATTGTCGAGGAGAAGACCGTCTGGCCCATCGGACCCTGGGACGTGGACCACCCCCGCGAAAAGGAGATTGGCATCTGGTGTCGCGAGAACTGCCTGGAGGCGCTCGAGGCCTCGACAATGCACCTCTTTACGCAGTTCTTGCACTGGTCCCAGGAGGACACGCGCGATTTTTGCGACGAGGTCGAGAGGGAGATTCGCGGGGGCAGTGTGCATGCTTATTTTACCGTGTGAGTTGGTCTTTTTGTGTTTATGCGCGTGCTCGACTTGTTTGGGACTGACGGCTTATTGCAGGTATTGCGTCTATGGGAGGAAGCCCTACGCCTGAGACGGCAGTGAGGGAGAAAGAGAACGTAACGGCTGGAAGTGAAAACGACGTTGCATTTGGTCGAATTAGATCTGGTCTTGATACCCCTGGGACTTTGTATAACTGTATGCTCTTTCTCTTTTGCGTGGCGTTGGGGAGAATACATTTGGACCATGGTACCTAGAGGCAACTCGAAGGCTACCGAGAGAGATAACTCCGCGGCGGGAGATTCAGTCCGTCCCGTCGCCAGGGATGATAACCATGGCGATGAGGACGAGACCAATCCTCTTACTTGAGATTGGCTTCGATCCATTCTGATAATCTTAAGCCTGGCACCCGCCTAGGGTAGGCACATCACCGCACTTGGAGGAACCGAGTTAGCCCCTCCTCCAGGCTCCGTGTGTTGTAGTAATATAACCCTTGAGATAGATCTCGCTCGTTTCAAATCATGGCCGAGGCGAGTAGATGATCAAGCTTGTAAAAATCGTCATCTTCCTCGCGTACGAGCCTCGGGTGAGAGTCTCAATTTATCGCCAAAATAGATGTCATTGGCACCAGGTCCTTTGCGCTTCTGCCCGGCTCGTCCGAAATACCTCCCCCGCATCCACGGTACAACATATACCCCGTCCAGAGCTACAACATCCAATAATCGTGATATATGCTGTCGCAATCACCTACTTCCCTACCTCATATCGCAACCATGATACCATCACAAGTGATATACAGGGACCAAGCCTCATACCCAGGGGAGGGAGAGGGGGTGGAGGTGCACAGCAAACATTGCATCTTCTCCACAGCCGCGCCGTAGCCATGCGGCCCCGAAAGGGGGGAGGGGGGGGATGGGACGTAGGATCTCATCCGCACCTTGTCTCTTGCCACATTTTGTACTTGTGTATGTATACGTTGCCCGTAGAAAGATCCAACCGGCAAATAAACCCCCCAAAGAAAAAGTGCTTCCAACACAAGTTGCAACACGAACAAAAAAAGAGATGGACGAGCCACCTCTATCAATCAGCCCATCACCTCCCCCCATTTGACAGGATCCGATAGCGCTAAGCGGGCACGCTAAATCGTCCGTACCCCGGTCGAATTGTATCCATCCCCCGTTGGTTGCGGCCGGAAGAGAGCGTCAAAGTGTGCCACATCGTCCCGCCCGCGACCAGCCCAATCACGGCCGAATATCCTATACTGCAGTTCTTTTGCTTGCAGACAAAAAAATGGGCGAATTCGCATAAGCGGGCGAGCGGAGCACCCTTCCCTTCCCACCCTCCTCTCCTCCTCTTTGCAATCCGCCGACGGTTTATGTTGGTCCCGTTGGTCCCGTTGGTCCCGTTGGCGCGTAATCAGGTACCACGTACCTAGAATGCTAGGGGGGGGGGGGGATGCTAAAGTAACCCAAAGATAGGTCGTATTGTGGAGTTCAAGCAGGGGTTTTGGTTGTGAAGATGGAGAGAGGGGAGGGGAGGGAAGGGGAAAGGGAAGAGGGGGCATGGGATGGAGGCAGAGAGGGGGGATTTAAAGACGTCTTGGATTGCTTCTTTTTCTTGGGCTTTCCTCCTTCTTGATTCCTTTTTCTTGATTGTACTTTACTTTCTCTATCTTGATACGAACTGGAATTTGGTGCAGTGATTGTTTTGTTACTTCATTGACGGTTTTGGTCTATCCGCCGTTCCACACAGCGAGAAGGAGAGATAGAGAGAGAGAGAGGGATATCGGAGAACGAAATGGCTGACGCGGGCCAAGCTCAGCAGACTCCCGAGCCCGACGAGGTCATCGTGAGTCAACCCCCCCCCCCCTTCCGCCGCCCCATTTCGATGAAGCCTATATGTATCTTCCTGCCGGCAAATTGATCCCCCCCAAAAGAGTCCAATCAATTACAATAGATTCCTCCGGTTCTGTCTATTCAAAATCATAGAGTTCGGAAAAGAACTGACACCTGCGGCCTTTGTTTGAATAGGAGGCACAAGAGTTCGAATCAGATGCGTCTTCGACCAGTGGCACGGTAAGTTTCAAATTCTCCACATTCTCCCGCTTGAGGAAGTCTTCTGCAAATATCTTGCAGCAAAATTTCGCAGCTCTGGTGCTCCATGTTCGCTTTACTAACTCTAGTGTTTCTTGCTTCATAGTCCGTCCACACTGATACAGACACCCTGAGAACGAGTATCCGTGATTACCGCAGGGAAAACGGGCGCACGTATCACAGTCTCAGTGATGGGAGTGAGTTGTTCTCTTTCTCCAGAGACCATGAATTCATTCATGGTTCTCCCCTTCCACCTCCCCCCCCCCCCCTCCACCCTTGGGTTCGCGATGCAAGTAGCTGACGATACGTGTAGCATACATCCTCCCAAACGATGCCGTACGTCCTAACAAATTATATCTTCTACCTCCTGTTACATTTCAGTATACATCTGACTTTGCGTTTTCGTTTTGGAATATAGAGAGAACAAGACCGTTTAGGTGAGCCAGTCTTTCTCTTCTACCTTACCCGGCGGGCATGGTTCTCGTCAGAAAAAAGGCGATCCACCGGGAGACTTCGGGCATTGGCTGACATGTCCGTCCTCGAAACAATAGACTTCCAGCATCACTTTTGGACGCTGACGTGGGATGGCAAACTCTGCATGTGTCCCAAGAACCAGGGCGCCAACCGTGTTTTGGATATTGGAACCGGAACTGGTATTTGGGCTGAAGAATATGGTTAGTTTTACCGTTTTCCCCCCTCTCTTCCCCCCCCCCCCCCCCGAGAGTACTTTCTCAGCAGGAGCGATGACCCTTTCCCATTGCAGGACGGGGATTTGACTAACAATTCTCAATAGCGGATAAACACTCAGCAGCAGTGGTATGCCTCCGTTCTGCCTCCCTCTGATGGGTTCATGGGCGGTGTGTGGCGAGTGTTAACATCACTGGCAACCTGATAGGTCATTGGCGTGGATTTGAGTCCTATTCAGCCTGAATTGTGAGTACAATACCTACGCAGTATGCCTTGAACCCCTGTAGCTAATAGACTGTCTTGTACAGCGTCCCGCCGAACTGCAAGTTCGAAGTCGACGATGTGGAGAAAGAGTGGACGTGGCAGGAGCCTTTCGACTTCATCTTTGCAAGACACATGAACGCATGCTTCGAGAGCTGGGAACGGTTCCTTCGTCGTGCTTACGAGTAAGAAACTGCTTCTATCTACCCCCCTCTCTCGCAACTCATTGTCACGACTACGCAATGCCCATGTGCATTCATACAAACCCCCCCAATCTTCTAACAACCAATGAATCAACAGCGCCCTAGAACCAGGCGGCTTCATCGAGCTCCAAGACAACGCCTTCCCCATCCTCTGCCAAGACGGCACCCTCAAGCCCGACGACCCGATGGCGCGCTGGTCGACCCTCATGATGGAGGGCACCGAGCTCATCGGCCGCCCCATCACCGTGCCCGCCCGCTTCCGCTCCATGCTCAGCGAGGCCGGCTTCGTGGATGTCGTCGAGCACAAGCGCGTGTGGCCCACGAGCCCGTGGCCGCTGAACCCGGAGCTGAAGGAGCTCGGCGTCTGGGGCCAGGCGTGCAGTCTCGAGGGCATCGAGCCGGGCGCCATGGCGCTGTTTACGCGCGTGTTGGGTTGGACGAGGGAGGAGGTTGTGGTTTTTATGGCGGGGGTGAGGGATGATTTTAAGAATACTAATATTCATGGGTTCTGGAACGTGTGAGTATTTTTTCCCCCGCCTTCTTCGTCGGCTCATCTCCGAGTCTTGGGGTTTGTGGATGATGAAGAGAGCTAATGTTATCCCAGGTACTCCGTGTACGGAATGAAGCCCTATGAGGAGCCCGGCCAGGAGTAAGGTATATGGAAATTGGTTGCCGGTGGGACTCAGACCTTTATACACTGAGTCTCTATACTGAGTGATTTGTTGCAAATGTCTGATGGTCGAATGAACGTGTTTGTCAGTCTCATGAAGTAGACTTCACAGCCCATCGCTTGTATGTAGACACATGCGACGAATCACCTGGAGTGTATGGTTGAGTAATGAAGGATGTGGACACAGATATTCTGAGAACGTGACAAATGCGACGGCTGTAATCCCGTGCTTGAAAGTTAAAAGGCAACATTCCTCTTCAACCCCCTTTTCTCTGGCCTAATCATCCAGCCATCACCCATTCAACCCAACAGCCATATCCGGACCCAACCTCCCGCCGAAACGACGCGCTCGCAAGAGACATTGGAGACAATGCTGCAAACCAGACTTTTGAATCTCACCGCAACATACACCTAAACACGCAATAGAATCTGTTGCGTCGAGGAAATCACACTCCCAAATTTGTCATCTATTCTATTCCAGCACTGTCGACCGAGAGGTTCTGACTTGAACTCAAGTGCCCAGTGTGCGACAGAGATACAAACAACCTGGGAGAATCCACCGGGAAGCGGACCTACTGGACTCGGTGCATCGAGTTTGAGAACCCGAGAATGATATTCACGGCGATGGAAGCGAGCATGGTCGAATACGGCTGCGTGTGTGGACGTCATTGACAGCAGCAGGCAGGCCATTGAATTCACCGTCCATAAGCCGAATGGCTCGACAACTGTGAGACATTGATTGTTTACATGAAATCGTTGAACAGTGCTTAACCGAGTCTCTTTCAGAGGTTGACTTGGCATCCTACAATGCTACCGAGACCCCCTTCCTTTGGCGGCAACTAATTCTTGGCCTCAACTACCTTGAGGACTCAGGAGACTATTCTGTTGCTGTATGCCGTATTCACCCTTGGTTATTTCGGTTAAGTTTTGCTATGATATCAAGCCCTGTGGGCGCGGTAGGAACTATTTGACATCGACGTTTCATGATCCGAACGAGGGGCTAATCTATACGTCTTCTTCACGCATGTACCCATTCTACACGAGGGAAAATGCCCTTTTCAGTCATTGATTCATTAAGGTTCTCATTCTGCCAAGCTCATTACACCGGTCAAGCTGCGACCAAAATCCAGAAATCAACCGCTTAATTAGTACAAAGGAGACTAAGCAGATGGGATCTCCAATCTCTTCCCCGACTTCAAATCTCTCACCCTCATACACCCATTCTTTACTACACGTTGTCACCCCCTCTCCATCCCAACACCCACAGGCTCAGCAGGCATCTCGTGCCTCGGCTCGCACGCCTCCACCTCGAACCGCTCGCGGCTGTGCGCCGGCAACTCCAGCTTCCACGCGGCGGCCTCGTCTTTGGCCCGCAGCTGCCGCTCGGCGTAGACGAGGATGTCGCCCTCCGTGTGGACGGCCATGTCCCGCCTCCTCTTGACGTACCTGCGGACGAGCCCCGCGAGGAGGGCGAGGAAGAGGAGGGCGCCGAGCGTCGCGCCGACGGCGATGCCTGCGACTGCGGTGCTTGAGAGTTGGTCTTCGTCGGCGGGGGCGGTTGGTGATTGTGCTGGGGAGGAGTCTGGGGTTGATGTTGGGGTTGCTGATGCGAGGGCGAGGGCTGTTGTTGTGGCTGTTGCGGATGATGTTGAGGTTGATGTGCTGTCGGGCTCGGTGATGTTGAAGTAGTGAGATGTCGCGCTGCTGCCCGACTGTCCCGTCTTGAAGAGTTGAAGGAAGTAGACCTGGCTCAGGTCTGGATTCATTGTTGAAGGAAAACCTGCGTAGCCTACGGTCCAGACTAGGCTTTTTACCGTGGAATTGGCTTTGCAATGGTGTTAGACGCAACTCTGAGAAAGTATGTTGTGGTGGGGACTTACATGCGAGCTTGGCATAGGGCCCCTTGAGGTTTCCCGTGGGCTGCTGCTGCCACAAAATCAGGTCGATATTCTTGAGATCCATCTCCCACTGCAAGTCAATGTTGTCGCCGAGGGTGTAGACTGGGTTATCCCGGAAGTCTCCTGCCGGACCCGGGCCCGGTGGGCGGCGGAAGCGGTTCTCTGAGCGCGCACATGCCGGGAATACGACACCGAAGAGGAGCACTGCGAGAATGTGCATCACGAAGGCCGGTGATGGTTTCTTGGTGATGTTCTTGTCGTCTCTATCTGAGTGAATGGGCAGATGGACATTGGGCAATCGAGGAGAGTGGAAGCCACTCTGCCATGGGACACATTGTGTTTTTGCTCGATTCCTTTTCTTCCATTGCAAACCCGTTGCCCTGTCCCCCACCTCGATGTCGACTGTGCGCGATGGAGGGGTGAGGTTTTCATTTTAAACGTCCTAGCGACGGATCTAGTCAGCGTTGACCTAAACAGTAGTGCCGTTTCGGAGAGTCGAAACGTTGAAGCCTAGACGCCACTGAATCCGCCAGCTATTTGTGCACTGCCAAGACGGGCCAGTTTCGTTAGTAATTCAGAGAGATGCTTCAGAAGACGGCATAGGTAAGAGTAGAGTTCTATGTGGCTTAACGTTGGTTTCGAGACGTGCTGTAGAGGCTTGTGGTGTTGTGATGCATCGATGGACTCAACAGGGTCAATCTCCGTGGGCCCAGCTGTTTCGCGTCCAAAATTAAGTTGATTGGATAGCTACGATGGTGATTGACAGAATTAAATGATTCAATAGGCAAAAAGGCAAAAGAATACTCCTCGACGGGGAATTGAACCCCGGTCCCCTGCGAATCGTTGAATCTTCAATGACAAGCAGATATCCTCACCACTAGACTATCGGGGATTGGTGGATGTTAACATCCAGTGACAGTTGGTTGGAGGGAGAGCTGCCTAGCGGTTCTATATACCCACTCCAAAAGTTGCGCCCCCAACGCCGGGTCCCACCATGCCCACGTCGATTTCCGGAAGATCTGCAATTTGCAAATAATTCCCAAAACTTATCCTTCGAAGCAATTGATTGACTAGGTATTCATCTTCATGAGCGAGTAGCCCTCTGTTTTGGTGCGAATTGCACTATCCCAACATGAATACACCGGCGAAAAGCCCACCCATTCATTCTATGGGCGTCCCACTCAGTCGCCTCTCCGAAAGCGACATCTCTCCTTCTCATGCGTATCTCGATACCACTTCGTCGTTAAGACCTTGGTGCAACATTCGTTCCTGCACGGATACCTCTGTCTCTTCTCGCGATTAAACGAGCACCCCTCGCGAAGGTGCTTATTGCGGTTGCTAACGCTCGAGAACGTCTTCGTGCATTGCGGTGTGAGACACTGGAGTCTATCGCCTCGGTTTCGGTGGTCGCGCGGCGTCGAGCGAGATGTCGTCGAACCTGCGGCGCTGCCGATGCTGCTGTTGAAGATATGAGCACGAGTCAACATTGGGACCAGGTGAAAAGCGGCCTACCTTATGCTCGATGACGATACGTTCCGGCGGAGTTCAAGTGTGCTGAGCGACGAGAAGCTGCTCGACGGCGTGATACATGCGTCTGAGCCATGGGCTGGCGATTGTACTGTGAATGGTGGGGCAGAAAGCTGGCCAGTAGCCTGGCTGGATTGAACCGAGATGCCATGCATTCCAAGGTACTTTGCTAGTAGAGCACAGCAACGAAGATATCCCGGAGACGTAGTAGTGAAGGTCTCGGTGAAGGCATTTGCCGATCCAGAGTGCAAGCCTAAAGGAATGTTAGTATACGACTCTTAAGCAGTGCGACGCTGCACTTACCCACGATCAGCGCAAGCACGATGGAGAAAGCCACCGAGAAGAGGAGCAGCATCGTGGCCGATGAGAGAACGTCTTCCCAGCCTCCATCGAATGATAACGAAGGAGTCGGCTGTCTGAGAGTAGTTTCCTCAAAGCGTTCCATATGTAGAAAATCCGCCCACACCAGATCATCGCGTTGGGTCGACGATCCGGCATAGGAGGCTTGCCCCGGTTGTGATCGGCCCGGTATCGTCTGGGCCTGAATACTACTGACTCCTACATGTGTTTCTTGGTCATCGAATGCCCTTTGTATAGCTGCAAGCCTAATTCCAGGCGATGAAATCTTCGACGGTATGGTCTCTTTGCGCTTCTCGAGTGAGATGAGGTTTTGAGCCAAGTCGTGGAAATGCGGCAGGTGTTCTGGGTCAAGTTGTGATGGTCTGTGACTTGACGGCGTGTATGCCCACATGCGGAATGCGAGCTTATCGAAAAGGAGTTGCGATGATGCTGGTAGAATGGAGCGCCACCGGTCAAGGTCATCAACAAACCTAAGTCAATGTTAGCTTTGGCATGCCTAGATGTAGGACTACGCATGAGGGTGCGCTCTTAGGCAGGGAATTGCGAGCAATGGCTTACTGTAGAGATAGGGAATCGTCACTTGAAAGCAACGTTAAATATGTGGCATTGGCCACCAGCAGTGCGTCGAAAACTTCCACAAGCGACGATGGCGGACTATCCTGCATCAGACCACGGAACACACCAAGGCCACGATCCCAAACTGTATTAGAATGGACGTAGTCCCCAGCTAAGTCGCGAAGTTCTTCATGGTCCGAGCAGTCGCAAGCCCCATGGAACTGAGAGCACAGTATCTCCATAGAAGAGACCAGGCTCTGCCCCAAGAGTCGCCGGCGATGGCGAGAGCATCTCCGTCGGACTCGTTCTTTGGGGGCATCGGCCTCTCGATCGTGGCGGCGGCTACCTGGCACGCTGGTATGATTGGTATGATGGCTACTGGTCAGGCTTGGAATACCATTCGGCTGGATTCCAGTACAGTTCAGACCGGACGACATACGAGGCAATTCGGCGGTGGGAGTTGCCTCCATAATGCTCAAGCCTGCGAAACAGTCAAACGTGTCATCCGGAGCTGTCGACTGTGGAACGTCCATGACGCCAAACGCCAGCATAATCTCCATAATCTGTGTATTCTCATCAGAGACCGCGATGGCGATTGCCTCTCGTAGCCCCTCGGGTAGGGGTGTTCGCAGCAGTATCGCGC